ATATTATCAAACCGTCAAATTAACTAATTTTAGTCATACGAAGCTTCATTTCTTTTCTTCTTTTTTCTTGTTTGATGAAAATATTTTTAGTTTCTTTATTATACTATTACCTTTATAATTATTATTAGACATTTTTATAATTTATAAAAATAAGTTTTTTTTTTAAAAAAAAAAAAAAAATTATTTTAATCAAATTACTGCATAACGATAACAGAATGTAAATAGTAATACACATTGTCAGGGTATGTAGATCTTACCGTATGTGATGTGAGGCACAGAACTAGAAATAATTATAGTATTAAAGAAGGATCTGTGTTACGGTAAAAAAATTTTAGTTTTCAGACGATTCGTGTAACTCCAACGACCGGCCATTCTTCTGAACCAGGAAATATATGTATATAATTACCAGTAAGATGTACGATCGCATAAGTAATGGTCAATGATTTTCAATTTTCGAAAAATAAATTTCGTTCATCTTTTTTGAATGATTAAATATTCTAAAAGCAAACTCTTAATAATTCAAAATTTTTAATTTGTTGATCAATTTCTGTATCAATTAACTAGGTAAAAAAAAAATTGAAATGAATCATCGTGCAGAGTCAACTACTGCAGCTGCTTTCTTTAAAGAACAAAAAATTCTAATTTTCTTCGAAAACCATTGCCAAGAAATAAAATGACGAGTTTTAAATTCTCGCAACTAAAGCATTATTAAAGTTCGCACCAACACCTATATCCATTACCTCATAAAATTTGAATAATATTACATTGCACCCTTACGTCCATTAATACTAACGTATTACCAGATTCTGGTATAATAATTTCATTAAGGTTTAAATCTCATGGACGATCAGGACGTAGATGGTTGAAATTTGAAAATTTTCACATTTTCGTGTCCAAATTCTATAAACCTGGCCAGACAAATAGTAAAAAATCCTAATTTAAACGCCAACAAATATAAAATCCATTAGTTATTTTTTAATAAAAATAATGAGTAATTAATATAGCAGCCCGTGTTGAAATCTGACTTGATTACATCGACATAAAGAATTAATTAACATGTATAAGACAAACATTTACATTTCCGATATAAATAACAATGTCATTCACTTCAAAATATTACCTGCATTTCATGCAACAACATTTACTTTCCATATTACCTACGGGATCGTGCTTTGAATATATTCTGCCCTTTAATTTTGCTAATAAACGAAAATATACGTAATATTAAATAAGCTTATACTACAGTACTCTATGGTTGTTTCATCATCACCGCCAATATTATCGTCTCGTGAACTGTTATTAAAAATGAAAAATTATATTTGAAATCATTAGTTAATAGCATTGCACATTATTATGATGCAAAAATTGATATCTCTATTTTACATCTAACGGTGTTGTATTTGATTCTTCCAGCCTTTACCAAGATAGCTCTTATAGAATATCTCGAAAGATTAGTTATTGTTAAAGATTTTTATATTTGATTTAAGAAGTAATAAAAGATTAAAATATTTGGAAATTCAGAAATACGCTCCTCTAAAACACACGAGATGACATGGTTTTAAATGGTTGCTGCTTGATGGCAGGATATTTTGATCATAATAAGATATATATAATTTATTAATAAAATAAAATAATACTAAATTAACTTTAAAATATCGAGAAATTTCTAAATCCAACCACATAAAATGGTTAAAGTTACATTTTATATAACTCATGGATTTACGTTTATCATTATATATAAATCAATATTAGTTCGCATTTTTAATTGCAACCATAAATATCGATAATTCATAATACCTCTTAATTGTAATGAGCTAGAAATTCCTAAATCAATTAATTGAGAATCTAGAAAATCTGTTAAAATGCATTTAAATTAATATATTTCGTTATTAAATATAAAACTTAAGTGTATATTACCTTCATTATTCTCATACTTTTCAAGATATGAGGTGATAAGAGACGAATTAATAGGTTTTGTCAAATATTTAAATGCTCTACTTTTATATACTGCATCAGGATTTGCTTTACATGAAATTGATATATTTGGTATTTCTTTATCAGCTTGTTCAAACACTTCCTTTATTTGTTTTCTAGAATATCCATATTCTTTGATATCTTTATTCTCCTCATATTCATATATAGAACTATACCAAAAATTCAATATATTAAACAACTCATCGCTAGTTACTCTTTGATTTGGATTTGCATCCATACATCTATAAGCTAATTTCTTATAAAATTCAGGGGTTCCTTTTCGAAATTCTGGACGAAGTCCATTACAAACATCTAAAGATAATTTATAATCATGCTTCCTATTATAAAATGGAGGGTTCCCAGATGATAATTCCGTCATAATTACACCAAAACTGTAAATGTCTGAAGCTATAGTGTATAATTTTCCATTCAAAACTTCAGGAGCGATATATGTAATACTCCATATATTTTGTCATCCGATTTTTGTTTATCTGCCGGTCTCGATAATCCAAAATCTGAAATATAAGAAAAAGTCTCATTTTGCAAGATATTTCCACTATGAAAATCCTCATGACAGTATCCTAACTCATGTAAATCATTAAGGTTAGATATTACATTAAATAATCGAATAATTTTATCTTTCCATAATAAATTATTAAAATTATTTGAAAGATAACTTCTCAAATTTCCATCAGGTGCAAATGTTACGATCATAATAAAATCTTTGGTTTCTGGATCCTTAGTTATTCCATAAAATTCTAAAGAATCAATACTATTTTTACAAAAATCACAATGTGTTTTAAGCTAATTTTCGTAAAAAAATTTAACGCAAATTAGAAATATTTTTATTTAATTAATATCAAATTTTAACGTAAAATACCTCATTAAAATATTTAGCTAATATATCCCGTGATCCATTTAACCTTTTCAAAGCAACCTTCATAGGTTTAGGATCTGATTTTTTCCACCTTCCGTCATCTTGCCTTTTAAATTCCGAATGACCATTGATCCATGTTGCAGAATACACTTTGGCAAATCCTCCTTCACCAATTTCTTTTATATCTGTGAATCTATCAAAAGGCACCCATTCAAGAAATCTTAAATAATATCTATGGTTATTCTGATAACTATCATAAATTGTATCTTTGATGAATTTATCAATATGAGAATTTCCACTAGTCCACCCTTCAATCTTACACAAAGGATCACATTCTTTACACCATAATTTCTCGGTAAACGGTTTATCGTTTGCATCCATTTTTTTTAAAAAAAAATTCTTTGTAGTTTCAATAAGGATATAAAAGGAATTATCACGACCAAAATTAGATCATCGGAAAATATTCTCCGAACATGCATTTGTACAAATTTAGGTGATAACGTGATCAGATACTGCGGTATTTATCAAATTGCATTTAATCATGATAATCACAAAAATCTTATCGATTTTGTAGGTTGAAAATTCATACTCTAAAACATCAATAATATTGTAATAAATGGTTTCGGCTTACAGGTTATTGTCGGCTTAAAAAGATTCACATTCACATAAAACGGATTCATCTAGAGATTGCTGAAGATCTGTACAACCAAAGAATATACTCAAAATTTCGAATTTTCCTGTGATCGATCTGCCTGCTTATGCATATTATGCATACTTAATATGCAACTAAAGTTTAATGATATTAATGATACTTTAAATAAATATAATAAACTTATAATTAAAAAATTGGAAAAGGATTTGTCCCTTCGAGAATTAATATTTGTTAATAAAATGAAGGATTAATTATTACGTTTTGAAATGTCGATTCTATTAGACGCGGTAATAAACTACCAATCATACCTTTATTTATCAATATGACGTAAAATAAGCTAGAGTTTGTTAACTATTTCTTTCGTATTTGTGAGTGAGATTTTTATTTTATAATTGTTCTTTAAACAATCCTCCATATCGTTAGAACGACATTCTTAATCAAGAGAATGATATAGAATTCGTTCAAAAGAAATCGTATAATACAAAATAGCTCAATAGCTTTAATAAATAATTTCTTTGTATTGCAAAAGTTATATATATATATTATTTTATAAACGGTCATGTGTGAGCTTTGCAATAGAAAGAAGGAAACTGACTAAGAAAAATAAATATTACTTAATATACTAAATTATTTTTTTTTAGTAATAAGTCCAGATTTAACATTAGATTAAAAATGTTATTTTGAAGTTTCTTTATATTTCAATAGCGCCCATATCATCAGGCAATGTGGTATAAAGTTATACTTTAGGTAAATTCGATAAAGTCAGAAAAATATAATATATATATATATTTTTAAAGGTCAACGGTCGGTCAAACGGTCGGTCGGTCAATGATTTTACTTACTTAATCAGAAATAAATTATGCGTTCAAATTTTATGAACTCATCAACAATATCACTAGATAAGTCATTACTTTTTAGTGCCACAAAATACGTTCAGATAGGAGGTCATTAGATATTATTAAAACAGCCTTAAAAGCAAATAAGTGTTTGTATATAACTCTCGCAATAAAGATTGATCATATAACAAGTCAAATAGGACCTTGTTGCTTTGACTATTTATAATTAATTGATGACATAGTATTAGTATTCATGTTTAGACTTGCCGCCATTTTTAACATCGTTGCTTACAATTGTAAATGCAGTGGTAAAATCTTTCACGTCCAAATTTTCTTTACTTAATTAAGTACATAAGTTAATTATTTACATATAATTTGACAAAGAGATTTTTTAAAATTTAGTGAATATTTTTTTTTTTATATTATTTATTTTAACAACTTGTATCAGTGCTTGCAGACAAGAAAGAAGATCACAACATTTTATTTGTTCTGATCAAGAAAAGAATCTTACTATTAAATATTCTTTATTTCATAAAAAAGGATAATCAAATAATTTTATTATTACGAAGCAAATAAAAATTTTACATTTTGAATATTGTATAATGACTAATTCACTCAACTATAACGTATAGAAGTTAACAAATTTAATGCTAAAGATTAATTAATGAGAGTTATCGAGGCGAAGTGTTTTATTACGCCCCAAATTTCTCTTTTTGTTGTTGTAAGAAGCTTCGATAAACGAAAGATTATTTGGCACTGGGGTATTATTTAGGTTAGGGTCCACTCTATAAGTACCTTCTACAAATACACTTTGAGTAAACGAAACAACGATGTTAACCTTTTGGGCATTGAGAAATGGGTTAAATATAGCTAAACACCACATTCCGCTCTTGATAATTGGGAATTGTCTCTTACAGACAACTGCTGTTCCTGGACCGATTTCTCCACATTCTGATTGTACAATATAAGTCGTTAAATCGGTAACCTGAGCATAGAATCCATAGCCTACTGCAGTAGCTTTGTAATTTTTTAATGTGTAATATTCGCCACCATAACCTGTTGGATCTAATATTTCAGTTTGACCAGCCAATTGTATAGCGTAGCCTAATTAAAGAAATTTGTTAGTGAAATTGGGTGTTAAGCAAAAAAAAAAAAATGATAATAATACATTTGATACGTACTGATCATCTGTGGAGATTCGGCGCATTTGAACCATGCTACAGCTGGGGGAAGTCTAACAGTATGAAGCTTGAACTTTAATTGTTGGGCAGAGATCATAAATGCCTAATAATTATCAAAAAAAGAACTGTTAAAATTATTCATTTTAAAGGTTAATGAAGGAAATATATTTATAATAAATTAATGCACCTGTAACAAGAGAAGAAGGATAAATGCATTCATTTTATTCATGTTTTCGTAAAATATAATTTCGTTAAATATTTTTTTTTTTTTTTTTTTTGTTGCGGTTTTAAATAAAGACCTGAAGAAAAAAAAAATGTCTTGTCGGATATTGACCGTTTTTATAACAAAATTTCAAAAAATCTTTAGTTCTCTTTTTGGTATCATGCAACATAAGCCGCGTTTTTCGTAACCAAAAAAAAAAAATAATCTTATTTTTACGTGATAACACAGCATATAATTTCGTATTGTTATTAACATCAAGTACAATGTATCCCTTACGCCAATGATTTTTTAGCAGTAAATATTTGAAAATTCAAATCTTACTTAGGTTTCAACAAGAAATGTCTAAGAAAATGTACCTTTATGCGATATTAAAAAAAATTGCTCGGTTTATTATAAACTTAATGAAAGAAACCAATTCTGAAATCATTAATCTCTTATGTATGAGATATTCAATAATGAAATCAGAAAATTTTAATGATAGAAAATAAAATTTTATTCACTTGCGTAACGAAACCTTTATTATGAAATCTTTGATAAGAAATGCAGATCGAAATCGGCGTAAATTTAATTCTTCCATAAAAGTCAATTAAATAAAAGACTAATTTATGTGAAACTTCAAATAATGCAACTTTTTTTTTTTTAAAAAAAAATATTGTTACTTAAAAAGGAAAACGAAAGAATTCAATTTCGTAACCATAAAAGTAAATATAATTAGATTTATAGATATCGGATCAATATGATACGTAATATTTTGGGACTCCTCAATTTATCTTAAGTTGTGCTCATAAAACATTCATGCTTATGATGCAAAAATTGTATTCATTCAAGAGGTTGGAACCGGTTTAGTAAATTCGAAAATTCGGTTAAAATCGTAACAGAAAGAAACCTTATTTTTTTTTTTACGCGATAAGGTTTTTTCCCCGATGCGCATATAATTCTCTGATTAACTTTAACGTCGAGTATAATGTAACCTAGTGCATCATCTTACACCAAAGATTTGTAAATATTAATTGGCAATTAGATAAGGTATCAAAATCATATCTTTCTTAGGTTTTAACAGAAAATGTCTAAGAAAGTGTATTCCTCTATGCGATATTAAAAAAGATTGCTCGGTTTATTATAAACTTCATGAAAGGATTAAATCATTAATCTCTTATGTATGAGATCGAAAAAAAAAAAATATTCATTAATTTGCGTAACGATACCTAAAAAGGAAATCTTCGATGATATTTCGACAGTTTCGGGGATTTCGGAAATGCAGATCGAAATCGGGCGTATAAACAAGTGTAATGATGAACTACCATAAAAGTCAATTTAACAAAAGACTAATTATGTATGCCCGACAGATTGTTTTTTTTTAAAAAAAAAAATGAACGAATTCAATTTTCGTAACAATAAATTGTGACAATAATAAAAAGTAAATATAACAAGATTTATAAATATCTCGAGATTCACGACATCTTTGTTATCTAATTAATATGAGGCGTAAAGTTCGAAACTCCTCTTCTTATTTTAAGTAGTGCTCGTATAACAATCATGCTTGTGTTGCAAAAATTAAGAACTCATGATGTGTAAAATTATCAACTGATTTGTAGTCATTTATTTTCAAACGAATGAATTTAACATATTAAATATATAATTTTAATGCAATGGAAATTCCGGCAGAATACAAAAATATTATCATCAATCTTGATTTTGACTATAATATAGGTGATTGGGTACGAGTAAACTAGAGTGTGTCATGTCTGGTTCTTTTAATTTTAATTTGCTTTGCTGATCCTTTAGAATTCTTTTTAATACAAAATGAAGCTAAATTTGACTTTGAAAATTTGACGTTATCTACAACTACTAACTTTAAACCCAAATTAAAAATATTTGTCGATGTTAACTTTTCCTAAATATAAAATTCCATATAGCAAGTGCAATTTGTTCATATAGAAACTTCAAAGCTCTTGTGGAATCCAAGTATTTTAGTTTATTGTACGAAAATTTGTCAAAAAAAAAAAAAAAAATAGCAAACTCTTTTTGGCATGATGATCTCCTTGCAGATTGAACTCAGAATTTCAATCCCTCATGATATAATTTTGATACCATTCATAGCTTTTAGAATAATGGTGCTTGAAAAATCAAGGTTTGGTTCTAAATTTATTGTTAGTAACGTCACTGTTTAAAATTTTTTTCTTTGAAGAATCGATTTCTGTGTAACACTTCGATCAAATATTTTTTAAAATTACCTATTCAGAACCTCAATTTGATGATGTAACATCATGTTGATTTGTAATAAATTATTGTATAAAAGAACGGTTAACTCAACAAGTAAAATTTTCGGTCAGAATCAAGGTTTTAGGATTACTAACTCTGACCAAATTATAAAGTGATTTTAAACAGTTAAGACTTTACAGTATATCAATTACAACTTAAACTAGAACAGAAATCTATTTGTGCTATTAATGTACAATTTCATTTAATCATTGTCAGTTGTTGATTATTAATCAAATCAAATATTCAATATTTAAGAACAATACCATAATCGCATAATAGAGAGCTTCTCATTCATCAATAAAAATAAAATCTCTTTAAATACGCATCAAATTCTCATGATTCCTATCAGAAATTTTTAATCACTCATCGAAATTCAAAGAATTTCCAATCTTATCGCCATAATATTATGAGACTTTAGAAATAAATTTTTTGATCCTAATAAAACCAATAGATGAAGCCAAACATCAAATGGATGGTAAGATCATACCAATTCCTGATAATCTTATCGTATGAGGTTCAATTGGATGAAAAGATAGAGGATGGCTTGAAAAAAAAAGTACGAGGACGTTGTTGCTGAGAAGTGGAAAGTTTTGAATGGTGGCGGGTTATGCGGAGAGTGGATAGAGTTAAGGATGAAGGTGATATCTGACCTTTTTGAATTTGGTCATTAGCAATTGATTATCGTCTTATCAATTTCCTGCGCCACTTTGAAAGTGCGGGTGGTGGATTGGCTTCGTGACGTTTGTTTATCATTGCCATCAGGACTTGTTTTTATTTGTATAGATCAATTTTGTAATCATTTGCAATGTTTTAGATTTTTAATTTTATTTTTTTTTAGTCAAACCTCATTAATAATTTTCTCTCCATTTAATGATGAATTTTGCAAAGTCGCCGCATGGGTGGATTTGACAAGCAGCATTCCATCATACTATCATACTGGGAATCTGAAATGGTATAAATCGGATATTATGCTAGGCAGGTTAGGCCGGGCAAAAAAAATTTTTAGATTCTCGTGACATAAAATTTTAAAATTGACACGGTCACCCGGCTTTTTTTTTTTTTATATAAATTTTTTTCATATGTATTTTATATTATGTTTTGTATTACGCAAATAGTGAGGTAAATGAAGGATATTATTATTATTGTAGTGAGTGTTATATGACAGTTTCTGACAAAAAAAAAGTGCTAAGAATATCAAGTTTCAAATAACAAAAATAGTTAAATTTTTTATAATAAAGTATATGCTACGATTTTTCATTATATAAAGTCACGTGATAAAAAATTTTACTATAAAAAAAATATCACGAGTTTTTGTAAAAATTGAGGCGGTCGGGTCACGAGAATCTAAAAAATTTTTTTGCCCGGCCTTATGTACGCCTTCTTTTGATCCATCAGGCCCCCATTTCAATTGAATACCTTGAACGCGTCAAAATTTTATCAGAAAAAATCAAGCAAATAAAAGCCAAAGGTGGTTGGTCACGATTCTTTTATCAAAATTCCAATTAGGCTTTACTGCGCAAATACGGCCTTTTTTATTTTTCTTGTGATTATATTTCGTTCCTATTGAACGATTTCGGCTTATATTTTAGGTGTAATTTTTAATCGTCGTTACGTATAAATTTCATTTCTGCCTGCATAGCAAGAATTCCGGATATTGATTAATAACTTTATTATAATTTTTTCTTTATATATGAAGATATTACGAGTTTCAAAATAATAATTCTGTGTATGAATTTCATAAATTATATTAATTTTTACCATATTTGGTGATTTTTTTGTTATCTAAATCAAGAAAAATGATCTTTTGTTTTTTTTAAAAGAAAAAAGAACAATTTATATGAAAAAACAAATAAAATAAAATTCGACATTTCAATCGTTTTTTGAGAGGGAATTTTCTCATAAAATATGGTATTTCTAAATAGAATTATATCGTGACACCGAAATTATATCATTAAAAATTCAAGGGAGACAACATTATCATGAAATAAAGTGGGTAATATGTCAAAGAACGGTTGGTGTTCAACTTTTTTTTCCATGTTACTATATTTATTGATTCCATATTAAAAAGAGGTGCTTTTTATCATATCTCAGATAAATGTTTGTATCATTAGTCATTCCAATACTTATATTTTTTCTTTCGATGATTGACCTGAATTAGCAATAAAGCGTCTAAAACACGTCCAATTGTACCTTTTTTTTTTAAAAAAAAAAAAAACTCTAAACATTCTAGACGTTTTTCGTCAAATTACTTTTTTTATGCCGTCGAACAAAATGTGTTAAAAAAGAAATTTCGAGACCTTTGGTTAGTAATAATCCACTAAAAATGTTAAAATCTCGTATGGTCATACAACACATACAGCAATAATGTAATATTACCTAATCGTGAACTAGCTTTAATAATGGCATATGTGTTGCTGTTTGTACGAGATAAATTAGAACAACGCCTTTTTGAGTTTGGGTATTCATCGTTCTTAAGTACTGTACCTACGTGGTTCTTTATTATCCTATCCTCCCCCTTATCTACATGCCTTATAATTATTTACAAGTAATTTACTTACGCAATTAAACCTTTGTGACATCTAAAGTCTCAAAAATACGAATTTTATTTAAAGAAACCTACTTGCAGATCTTAATTTTACGCGGCGATCTTAATGAACAAAGTCAATTAATTAAATTAACCATGCGGGATGAGATTTTATCGAGTGATTAATTTCGGTATTGTCCATTGGGAGTGATATATTATTCCTTATTACTTTGAACGTGAAAGATATAAAATAGGGGCTTTGATTTTTTTAAAAAAATAAAAATCGCGTTATCTTCAATGAAAGTAAAACTTAAAAAAGGGGACCCATTTTGATGAAATGTGTCAAATACAAAAACAAATGTGCCATGGGCCTTTTAAGCTACATTTTAAGGTTGTATGATGATTCGTTGAATCGGAAAAGCTTTATAGAAGCGTATTGTAATATCATTTACAATTAACAAAATAAAAAAAACCAAAGAATTAATAAATTTTTGTTGTAGAAGCCACACTCCCAACAATTTCATGCACAACACAATCATAACCAACTGCGCTTTTTACAAATATTTTTATTCATTTTAACTAATCATCTAGAGAAGAGAATCTGCCCACAGAGCTACATATGAAAAAAAAACCTTTTGTCGGCATAATCCGTTTGCATAACCTCTAGATATCTAATTTTGGTGATCGATCTCCAATTTACATTTTTTTAAACGTCTGTTAAATGAAAACATTCGATTTTTTCACAAATTTAGAATTTCACAAAAAAAATCCCGATTTGTTCATTTTAAAAATTATTGGTGATCAACACAGACGCACTTTACAAGTATTTAATTATAGCATGTTCCATATCGGGAAAAGCCTATTGAACTTTGCTAAAAATAGTAAACCATACTAAACCTTTAAATTTTGGTTTATTTGTAGAAGATTTTCTAAATGATAATTTGCATAGCTTTGAAACAAAAAAAAAAAGTTTACAGAGATTTATTTAAAAAAAAAATCATACCATTTTTAATAAATAAAAAGAGAAATTCAAATTCTTTTATGAAGAGAGGAGGAAATACGTGTTGTGTTGTTGTTGTGTAAATAAAAAAAAGTTATTTTTTAGTATAACGTGAATAGGGATGATAAATAAAAATATAATGAAAAATAAAAAGCTATGATTTTATAAAATATATATGCACTAACCCAAACGAACCCTGATATCGCCACTTATCAGTTACTGAAGTTGCTGAAACTAACATCATCCGTTGGTGATGGTAAATAATAATCATAGGGATTGTAGTATGAGTACGTGGTTAATGGAAAACCGGAATATTCAAGAGCTGGCGTCATCATAATCGACGATTGATTCACAGGATGTGATACATTATTTTCTCTGTGAAAACACTTAGATTCAGGAAGGATCGGTTGCTGCTGCTGCTTTGTTGTTGTTGTTGCTGTTCTGATGGTTTCTTCGTATTAAACTTGTACCTTCCAGAGGCGACCTCAGATTCATCAGAAGATGAATACAAATTAAGGGGAATTTCAACCTGATCTTCTAATCATTAAGCGACGATGTGATTGGAAAAGGAATTGGTGTTATCGGCGAGACCACCGGTAGGTTACAATCAAATATTATATATAACTCCCGACTGAAAATTTTCTTCAATTCTGTTCATGAGCTCATTGAAATAAGATGTTATGAAATAGATGCGCCCTTTTCTCGAATTTCACAATCGATAAATTTTTGTAAACTTTGCATGATTTTCAGAATATAGTCAATATTCTTTGGATCAGGGATGATCAAAATAGGTTTTATGCATCAATCCAATCTAATTGCGTCCTTTAACTTAATGAAAAGCTGTAAAAACTCTGGGAAATTGAAATGTTCTTTTATTTAAAATACTTGCAGAGGATTTTTTTCTCCAATCAATTTCATGCCTAATTGCTTCCAAACAGAACCTCAACTTCGGTGAAGCAGTGTTTTAACAACTCTACCTGATTGTATTTGCAAGGCGAGTTGTCATATTTGCAAGTTGTGGGTCGCAGGGTTTTCTTGATTCTGCATCACCATCACACTTTATTGCACATCTTGAATCTGTGACAGTTACGCAATAATTACTATATTAGGAAGGCATGATGTTTATCTGTCATGTATATCACGTGATACATCGTTTTGAATTTTATTATAGTTTTAGAGGACTTAGTTTTTGGGTTAGTATTGGCATGTTTGTCACTCCTTCATTTGTCACATGATCAGCGTAACCTGTGAAGATTACAAATGTGCCATTTTATTTTACCTTGTCGACAACATGACATGCTTTGCAAGTACATTGCTTGATTGTTTCGGTTGATTGTGTCAAGCGGTTATTGGTCATGAAGCTATCATGGTTAATTTATTTTGAAGTTTTGAAATTGTTGTAATCGTAGAGGAGACAAAATAAAAAACAATTGATTAGTAATATTTCGCAGTGCAACAATAAATTTTTATGAATTTAAGAGAGGTATGGATTGAAATAAGATGTTAAAAAAAAAGCAAAATGACAAATTTTTTTTGTAAAAATAAGATATTTATAATATTATGATTTCATATTTTAGAGAGTTTGAAAAAGAAAAGTAAGTTCTGATATGATTATTATAAAAAAAAAAAGTCAGAAAATATTTTTAAGAATACAGTCGTCCCCCCTTATAGTCACCTCCTGTACAATCACGCCTCCCTTTTAGTCACATTGTTCGTTAGTCCGATTT